TTTCAAGCTTGTAGATTGTAAGAGTTTGGTATTTTTTTCACTTCACAATACCACAATTTATTAAAAAAAAAAAATTACTGTTAACAAAAAAATTAAAAATTCAGAACGGTCTTGTGATCGTTCTGGTAGCTGCAGGCGCAGCAGCAAGCGCAATTATATAAAAAAAAATTATTATTATTATTATTATTTTGAAAATCGGGCCAGCGGTGATACACCTGAACCGGCCTGGGCTGGTTCAGGGTGCTGGAGGCCTGCAATTCACCCTAGGGTGGGCCTGGGTGGCCCGCCCATCTTGACAAGCCTAATCACCACCACCTCCGGACAGCAAGATCACTTCAAACAAATCAACACATCGCAGAAAACAACACCCTCTCTTCTCGCAGATCTCACATACCACCACCACCACAAAGACTACCACACCCACCACAGATCTGCTTCGCTTCTCATAGATCTTACAGACCACCATCACCACACGAACTTTCCTAATGCTGCCGATCGCATCTCTAATCAGCCTTCAATCCCACTACAGATCCACCACCCCGTTTAAAACATACCAATTTAATGGTCACAATCAACCAAATAATTGTGACTACCAGTTCACCACTTCCTCCAGCAGCAACACCCCACCGTCGTCGCCAGAACCACCACCTCTGACAGCAACAACATTTCAAACAAATCAACACATTACAGACCACCACATCATATCTCTAGATCCACAGCCACCTCGACAGACCCATTGCCACCAACATCTCACCATCACCTCCTACCACCACCACCAACACCAAAAAATCAGATCTAAAATTATCAATCACACAACACTGCACCCAACCACCACAACACCATTCCCAACCGCCAATCACCGCACCACCATCGCCACCATCACCACAGAAGCCATCTCTCACGCCAGCCACCACCACCAACTACAAACACAACAAAACTCACCTAAAAAACTCCGACACCAGTTCGTGCCCCAAAATTTCCCAGATCCCATTATTTAGTAGTGGCAACATCACCAAAAAAGATC